TTTTTTTTTTTTTTACCACATCTTCTTTATCCATTCATCCTTTGATGGACATTTGGGCTCTTTCCATACTTTGGCTATTGTTGATAGTGCTGCTATAAACATGAGGTTGCATGTGTCCCTTTGAAACAGCACACCTGTATCCTGTGGATAAATGCCTAGGAGTGCAATTGCTGGGTCGTGGGTAGTTCTATTTTTAGTTTTTTGAGGAACCTCCATACTGTTTTCCAGAGTGGCAGCACCAGCTTGCATTGCCACCAACGATGCAAAAGAGATCCTCTTTCTCCACATCCTCGCCAACATCTGTTGTTGCCTGAGTTGTTAATGTTAGCCATTCTGACAGGTGTAAGGTGGTATCTCATTGTGGTTTTGATTTGTATTTCCCTGATGATGAGTGATATTGAGCATTTTTTCATGTGTCGGTTGGCCATCTGGATATCTTCCTTGGAGAAGCGTCTTTTCATGTCTTTTGCCCATTTCTTCACTGGCTTATTTGTTTCTTGGGTGTTGAGTTTGATATAGATTGTAGAAAACTGTAGATTTTCGATACTAACCCTTTATCTGATATGTCATTTGCAAATATCTTCTCCCATTCTGTCGGTTGCCTTTCAGTTTTGCTGATTGTTTCCTTTGCTGTGCAGAAGCCTTTTATTTTGATGAGGTCCCAGTAGTTCATTTTTGCTTTTGTTTCCCTTGCCTCTGGAGACGTGTTGAGTAAGAAGTTGCTGTTGTCAAGATCAGAGAGGTTTTTGCCTGCTTTCTCCTTGAGGATCTTGATGGCTTCCTGTCTTACATTGAGGTCTTTCATCCACTTTGAGTTTATTTTTGTGTATGGTGTAAGAAAGTGGTCCATGTTCATTCTTCTGCATGTCGCTGTCCGGTTTTCCCAGCACCACTTGCTGAAGAGACTGTCTTTATTCCATTGGATATTCTTTCCTGCTTTGTCAAAGATTAGTTACCCATACGTTTGTGGGTCCATGTCTGGGTTCTCTATTCTGTTCCATTGATCTGAGTGTCTGTTCTTGTGC